ATATATCAAAATATATTTGATTTTTGAAAACATTTTATTGATAAATATTCCTGCATATGTTATTCAGTGCCTGCAATATAAATAACTATACTAATCATATTTTATTATAGAAATTTGTTTCTATTTCATAAAATTTAGAAGGTTATGCTATTGACCCTTTTCAAGATACATTAAATAAGATTTATAAGAGGACATAAGAATGGTGATATAGAAAGGATTACACTAGTTCAAGTGGCAGATAGCCCATATCCTTACTATAGAAGAAAGGACCAAGCTCCAAGCTGAAGAATCTCTTTACAAAAAATGAGCAGAAGAAGAAAAGAGCCAGAAGCAACTTTTTTTCTTTTTGAAGCAAACGAAATATCCTTCAGTTGGAGAATAGACAAACCAATTCTGCTAAATCCAGAAATTTAAAATGGATGAGTTTATAGCTACACAAAGATATGGATGAATCTTAGTGCATATTGGTAAGTGAAAGAAGTTAGTGTGAAAACTCCTATGTATTATTCTATTTATATGGAATTCTGTAAAAGGCAAAACTATATAGAAAGCAAACTGAGCAGTGTTAACCAAAGATTGAGGGTGTGAGGTGCTGAGATGGTCAAGTATAGAGAACTTCTTCAAGTGGTGATATTCTGAAATACTGTGATGTACATACATGACAACATGAATTTGCCAAAACCCATAGTATTTTACAACACAGAGTGAACTTTAAACAATGATGTAAAAAATATACATACAAATATATATTTTTTTAAAAAATTAGGGCATTAGTGTATCCCAGGATGGAATGCAGAATGAGCCAAAAGAATATAGTTACAAACACACGAAAAAATCACAATGAATGAAAAGGGAAACAAGGTTTCTGACCTAGGCACTTTGGTAATGGGTGGCATCTGTAAGACCAAAAACAAAAGGAAGCATTAATATTGTACTGTAGTTGCTAAAGTAGCTTTTCATCAGAGTGCAGAGTGAGAACACTTGTGCAAACACTGTACTAATGTACAGGAACTGACAAAAAAAATGCCCAAAAATAGATGACTGGATCAAGAAGATGTGGTGCATATACACAATGGAATATTACTCAGCAATCAAAAAAGATAAACACATGCAGTTTGCAGTTACATGGATGGAGCTGGAAGGGATCATGCTCAGCAAAATAAGTCAGAAAGAAAAAGAAAAATACCAGATGATCTCACTCATAGCAGGAATCTAGAAAACCTAAATAAGGGACTAGGAAAAAGACTAATTAATACAAAGTAAAAATCAAAATCAACAAGCAACTATAAACCAAAGAGACACACTATGGGGGGGGGGCCAGGGAGAGGCAAGATTAGGGTCAAAATAAGGGGGGGGGGGTGCAATTGTATAGGAAATATAGCCAAAATGAAAATGCATACATTGTGCAAAAATGAAAATGATGTAAGAATTCTATAAAATAAAATATTTTTTTTAAAAAAGTAAATAGATGGCAGGTAGGAGAGCCAGGTTTCTCCATGCTAGACTGAGTGGTTAAAGAAAAGCTGAGGGGTGGGGGCGGGGGTTTGAATGTTCCATGAACACTAGTCAGAGGCAAACTATATATGAAGTTGCATTTAGTTTAATGTGGATTCAGATGGTTAAATACAGGACTATGTATAGATGTTTGTATATATGCAGGTTGGTCTACAGATGTATATTTCTTTGCTGTCTTAGCTGAGAGGCTCTAGAAGCAATGACAACCCAGTAGCAACCCAATCACATGCACTCACAAAACCTTATATATTTTTGAAGACTATTATAGCTTATCTGACAAATAAAATCAATATAGAAAATACTGAAACTAAAAAATTTTCAATGAGAAAATTAGCTCAAGACTGTGACACACTAAACTGTTATTATTCTACCATATTGCATACTTACATTAAGAAAAAAAACTGATTGAAACATCTTTTTAAATGCCACATTGTCTAACTTGTCTAATAATTCACCCTATCAAGAATAAAGTAAATTCGAGTTGAAAAATGTTAAAATAGTTTACAAGGGGCTTATGTCTTAATGTGAACAATATCTATTTGTATTTCTTTGCCTATCGACTTGGAAGCTGGGATTCCATTGTTTTAATATCACCACTTGAGTTTTTATATATGTGTGCATATACATGTATATATGTGTATATGTGTATATTTGTATGTATATTTATATTCACTTTGGCTTTATAAAAGATGTCATTGATGAGCATCTAATCTAGTGACCTTTAAACTATTGCATATTTACCAGGAGGAAATAGAAAACATTCCTGGAGTTGCCTGAGCACACCATAGATAGTTTTAAAGAAGTGAATTTTTAGATATTCAAAATCCATATGCATTTTTTGCTTAGTTTTGTCCAAAAACATACCTGGTTTTATTGTGTATGTCACACATTTTTTTTCATCTTCTTTACAACCTCATTTCTTTCACTTTACCCTCAAAATAATAATAAAACTCGTCTTGGACTTTTCCATGATCTATTAGCCCAATATGTAAAAATTTCTGAGAGCAAAGAAAGGGTTCTACTGGAAATTTGGAAAAATTTAATGCATCGAATGACAGGGATGGCTGTGTAAAATACTCTAAAACAAATGGTATCAATTTTATTGCTTTCAACAAAAGTAGAGAGAGATCAAAAGAATTATCATTAATTAGGTCATTAAAATATTTTTGATCATCTTATGATTTTTTCCATTTAAATCCAAAAGCATCAAAATAAAAGTAATTGGGCTATGACAAAACAATTTAGTATCACCTTCTTATTTATATTATCAAATTTACCAGTATTAACATTTATAGAAAGTGAATGGGAATGTAATTGTTGCTAAATTTTGTCTCATTCCATGAATAAATAATACTCATTTCAGATCCAAGAAAAAAAGCCTATGTAGCTCTTTGAAACGAATTTCCAATAAAATTTTATTTTTTTAAGATTTAGGTTTATACAAGACCTGGGGAACCTGGGGGCCATAGGCGTGGGTGGGTGAGAGGATTCACCAGAGACAGAGCGGGGAGCAGAACAGGAAGACAACCAAAAACACTGCTGAGGGGAACAGCAGGTGAGACAGAAGAGGTCTGCTGCACCATGTGGGTATCTCCGTAGCTGGCCATCGGGAATCAAACCCATGCTGCGGAGGCTGCAGATAGCTTCACAGCACTGCACTCAACCCACTGCACCACCAGGGAGGGCCCAAATTTTACTTTTAACATATCAAAATTAAAGTATGTTTATGTTTTCTTGGTCAACTATGTACTAATAAGTATTGGAAAATAATTCAGTACAGAATACATTCTTAAACAATTTTTATGTTCCATCAATTTTTAAACAACAAATTTAATTACATATACACATTTATGCTACAAATAATTATGACAGAGTGATCATCAAGTAGTTTCAAACTGAAGAATACATCCCATCATCAAAACTTTTTGGTGGGAATTAAATAACAATTTGAAGTCTACAAGGAACTAATGTAAAATGTCTATATGGTAAAGGATGTGTTCATGCATTTTTAAAGTCATGATGTCAGGTATCAAAAAAAATCAGCATTTAGATTCCATTTAGCATTTAAAGCTGTACTGTACCAACTTATTTTAAATTGACTATATTTATAATATATCCCAAAATGCATGCTTAACACTATGTAAACATGATAAAATTTTAGCTGTCAACTTGAAAATGCATGAAAAATTACATAGCTTTGTTACTGTGTTTAATTACTTAGAGAAAACATAAAACTTCAATGAGCAATGTTCTGAGTAGACTGAGTACTTCAAAAAAGTACTGGGGAAAGGTGACTAAGAGCACGATGAGGTATGGAAAAAAGACATATGGTGAAGAGAGCATTTTTATTGTAAGTGGAGTTCTTGAAGTGAAAGGTTCTGAAAACCTGAGAGGAGCTACTGATGAACCAGGACAGTCCTGTCATTCCCTCTCTGCCAACACCATGTTATTAGGTGGGAAGGTGGTCATTTCCATGTGGGCAAATATTTCCAGGGAACACTAGGCTGCCATAGGCAGAAGTGAGCAGTGTCAACTAGACCCAAGCTCACAGTACTGAAAGGGGTGGGGTCAGGGAACAGATTAAAAAGACACACACTGCATGACGCGTTGAGGTTAGTCAAGGCCAAAAGGAAGGGAACAGGGGAGCAAGGATATCCAGGCACAGTGATATTTGGGCCTGCGTGGTGGTGGATGTTTACCTAAAGAGAGTGCCTGAGATTCTCTCACAGCAGAATTTGAAGTCTTAGGGCATTGTGAGGTTGTCCAGATTTCATTTACAACTGAACTGGGGCCACATAGTCAGCTTCTCCAAATCCTTAGAATCTCTTGGTTAATAAATCCTGGGAGTTGAGATCATTGGATGCTGGGTTGTGGGGAGATTCTGCCTCCTTACATAGTAGTAGGGTGCTTCATAATTTATTCTAATTTATTGCATAGGCCAAGAGAATGGATTGTTTAAGCAATATTTGAGAGGGGAAGGGAGCACTCTTAATAATGATCCTGCAGAAAATAAGTATAAACCATGACTATCTGGAGCAAAGTAGCAAGTACACTTACTTTACTCAAAAGCATGTTCCTAAGATGATGATTGTGGGGGAAAGTCCTTAAATCCTGCTTAGATCATTAAAACAGAAATTTGCGTTATTTCAATTCAAATATCATTAAGCCTCAAGACTTTATCCTTAACGTGCTATTTTTAAATTTTTAATTTGGAGATTGAAAGGGAAAGAAAAAGGGAAATTCCTGATCTCTGCCCTGGAATGATCATATCTGTTGGAATTACATGCACATTCTGAGATACACATACACTGATAAGATGTGAGAAGGAATGGACAAACGATGCCTCCCAGATTTAAGCCTATGGTGAAGTTTTGAATTCCTCATTCCTATTACTCTTAAAAATGCCTGATACAGAGTTTTCCCCACAGCAGAAACACCATCAGAATTTATGCACTGATTCAAAGTACCTGCCCTGCTGGAGTGTTTCAGAGCAGTTCCTTCTTGCAGGAGAACAAGGTAGCAATTCCCTGTTGGATTGGCTTGGTCTTGACACTGTAGATAATAGGATTGAGCACAGGAGGCACAATGAGGTAGATGCTAGACATGAGTGTGTGGGCCAGGGGTGAAGCATGCTTGGCAGCACGATGCATCACAGACACACCAATCATAGGCACATAGTACACAAGCACTGCACAGATGTGAGACACACATGTGTTGAGGGCCTTCCGTCTTCCCTCTCCAGAAGCAATGCCCAGGACTGTGTAAAGAATCAGTATATAAGAGACCACAATGAGCAGTGAGTCCAACCCAAAGCTGGCCAGGACTATGGATAAGCCCAGGATGCTATTGAGCTTCGTATCAGCACAAGGCAGCTGGATCAGGTCTGAGTGGAGGCAATAGGAGTGGGAGAGAACGTTAGTGTGGCAATAGGGTAGTTGCCTCAAAAGAATTGGAAGTGGGGCCATGAATAGCACGCTCTTCAGTGTGATGCTCAGACCCATGGAGATTATACGTGGCAAGGTCAGGATGGCTGTATAGCGCAGTGGATTGTAGATGGCTACAAAGCGGTCATAACTCATGGCCAGCAGGACCCCTGACTCCATGCAGGAGAAGGTATGAATGAAAAACATCTGAGCCAGGCAGCCATCAAAGTTAATCTGACGGAAATCAAACCAAAGAATGCCCATGACCGTGGGCAGTGTGGACACGGAGACACCCACCTCAGTGATAGCCAGCATGGACAGGAACAGGTACATGGGCTCATGCAGGGCAGAGTCTGCCTTCACAGCCGCCATGATTAGACTGTTGCCCACAGTGGCCACAATGTACATGGTTAAAAAGGGGATGGAAAGCCAGCCATGTAGGGCCTCCAGTCCTGGAATGCCAGTCAGGAAGACAGATTGAAAGTCAAAGCTGTCATTGCTCTCAGCTCCCATGTCACCAATGATGAAGAACAGTCTTCACCTGCTGGTTAAAAAAAAAAAAAAAATGAAGTTAACTCCCATCTATAGGGTCTACTGTCTAAGTAGCTTACCTCAAATGCTGTGATCTTGAGCAGGTAACTTAATCTTTTCAGCCCATGGTGTGTTCATTTGGAAATCAGGGCTGAAAATACACTTGCTTCATAAGGTTGTTATAAATATAAACAAGGTATTATTTGACAAGTGAAACGTTGAATAAATATCCACTGCTTTATACTTAAGGGGTCACTAAAACCCAGAGAGGAAAAATGGTTTATATATCAAAATCTTAAGAATCAATTTCTGCAGTGTCTAGGTTATAGCTTAGATTCACAGACTCTTTCTGTACCAGTCATTTCATTCCATTGTGGAGACGAGAATAAACCTCAGTGTAATCTAGGATGGAATCGTAAGAAAGATTTTTGGCTCTACCAATGTGTCAGATAAATGATAAAAAAATATGCAAATACACACAGGCATCAAGAAAGACAGTCAAAGATACAGAGATACAGTGAAAGAAAGTGAGAAAAATACACAGAGTTACCAACAGAATTATATTTAGGAACTTAATTTTTATGCACCTATCTAGAAGATACAAATAAATTCAAACTCACCTGAGGAAACTTTGTGAAGTGACTGGTCAGGACTCACAATGGCTTCAGAAAGGACCTCAGGAAGCACTAGCCAGGAGCGGATAGAGACTTTATGTCTTTCAGTGACAGTTCCCAAAAGCAAGGGCCTCTGGTGTACTTGTTTGCCTGAGTGTGAAGCTGATGAGGGGGGAAGGAAGGAGATTAGATCTACCTTGGGAACAGAAAGAAAAGGAAAAACACTTCCTCTAGAGATTTTGTTCTCGCTCCATAAATAGAATAAAGAAGTTGCTATCATTCCTTCCTTGTGATGAAGAGGAAGATGGAAAAAAATTCCTCCATGCTCTTTTGCAATCCTCTGCTCCAATCATCCAGTCTCAAAACTGGAGTTCTGAGTTCATAACCCAGTGTCTAGATCCCCAAATTCTGGGTTTAAAATCCATCTCCTAGGCATAATCTAAAGTTTATGTTCCAATGGATAAATTTTAGAAGGTAGAATCCAGAGAACACAGCTTTAAACCCAGAATCAGGCCCAGGATTTAAGCAATACAACCATGGCTACCTCCATTCATTTACCGTTACTATTCCCCACCTAATCCTATCATCCCCCTCCCACACCCCACTCTATCAAGTTCAAGATCTTCTCCAGAAGAACCATCCCAGAGTAATGGAAAAGCATGGGATTCACATCACACAGATTTATATTTGAGTCCTAGCTTTGCCATCCACCATCTTCATGATTTAGATTAGCATTCCTTCAACTTCCAACCTGATATGTAAAGAGAATAGTACCTATCTACTGGAGGTGGAGTCAGACAATATGAAGAAAGTGACATATTTAATGTGATTATATCGTAAGTGGTAATTATCCCCATCATAAATTCTGGCACAGGTCCTAATTTTAGATCTCCCAAAAGAATTACTTTCCCAATACCTTCCTTTTCCTTTAAGTATTTTATTTTACCTCTGTCTTGTTTCAGTTTCAAGTAGAGTGGGGGTATATTGAGGAGAGGAATAAAAGGCAAGCTCTGTCCTTTTTCTAGGAAGCAGTAGGATAGATGAGGGAAAGCAAACAGAAGATAGACATAGAGAAAATTTTACTTTCTCCATGAAGAAATTTGAAATATTTCAGAGGCAGTTTATGAATTCTTTCTGCTTGCAATTATTTTTTATATATTTTTTTATTTTTTACATCATTGTTCATTTTTAAACAATATTTGCTTCCCCTCACCCCCTCAGGTATAGTCCCCATAGAGTTTCCTTCCCCAATGCACCTGTGCACCATCACCGCAGTCCCCTGTGCTCCTCCCTCCCTCCCTCTGATCCCTCCTCCTCCTCCCCTGCAGGATGTCTCTGATTTATAATTGTCCATTTTTGCTTTGTTGTGTTTTGTGCTGTTATTTTTTATTTTACACTGATGTCTTATTGGGTTCTCCTATATTCCTGCTATAAGTGAAACCATCCAATATTTTTTTTCCTTCTGGCTTATTTCACTGAGCATAATGCCTCTAGTTCCATCCACATTGCTGCGAATGGCATGAGTTTATCTTTTTGATTGCTGAATAATATTCCATTGTGAATATATGCCACATCTTCTTGATCCAGTCATCTGTTTTTGGGCATTTGGGTTGTTTCCAAGTTTTACCTATTGTGAATAGTGCTGCAATAAACATAGGGGTACAAGTGCTCTTTTGAATCAATGTTTGTGTCCTTTGGGTAGATCCCTAGGAGTGGAATTGCCAGGTCGTATGGTAGCTCCATTTTCAGTAGACTGAGGAATCTCCAGACAGCTTTCCACTGTTTGCACTCCCACTAGCAATGTAAGAAAGTTCCTTTTCCACCACATCCTCGCTAACATTAGTTGTTGCTTGTTTTATATACATATATATATATATATATATATATGTGCCATTCTTACTGATGTAAGGTGGTATCTCAATGTGGTTTTAATTTGCATTTCCCTGATGATAAGGGATGTTGAACATTTTTTTCATATGCCTATTGGCAATCTGCATTTCCTCTTTGGAAAAATGTCTTTTAAGTTCTTCTGCCAATTTCTTGACTGGATTGTTTATTTTGTTTTTGTTGAGTCCTGTGAGTTCTTTCTATATCTTTGTGATCAGTCCCTTATCAGTTGACTGGAGTGCAAAGATTTTTTTCCCAATCAGTGGGGTGCCTTTCTGTTTTGGTTAATGTCTCTTTGGCTGTAATGTCTCTTTGCCCTTTGTTGTCAGGCTGTGCTGTCTGGAAAGACTAGTAATTTCTGGTTATATAAGCAGGGAATCATCAAATCATCAGCTTTAAAAAATCACCCACAGTCTGACTCAGACAATCTCTCAAGATCTTTTTCCCCAAGAGGGTCAATGTGAAGCCCACCGTTTGTCTAAAGGAAGCTATCTGCAATTCTCCCACTATGCTAGACTAATATTCTAAATTAAAGGTTCTCATGTATCAGAATTATTAAATTCTGGAGTTTTACCGCTGCCTTTCCTGCCTCTCCTAAAACTCTTGGCAGAACTTTAAACTCTTGGAGAACTTACTAAAACTTAATCCCCTAGTGTTCCAGCTTAGGAAAACTGAGGAAGGGTCTGAGAATTTGCACGCTTCACAGGATTCCAAGCAGTACAGTTGCTGCTGGTTTGGGAGTCACCTTTTGAGAGCCACTGTTCTAGATTCTTGTTATCCATGAGTCATAATGTTTTTGTTACAAATCAGGCTGGCAGCTGTTAGAATAGAAAACATTGTGTTTCTCAAGCTTTAATCATTAAGAGCAATTCTAATTGAGAAGGTCTTGTGTTGGTGCCTAAGATTTTATCTTTCTAGTGAGCATAGATACAGCAATGTTATTGCTCACTAGAACATACTTAGGGTTAGTGAGATTCTAAACCTTGTTGTCTAACTATTTCTCAAGTGGTTACTTACATCAATATCATAACCTTCCCTTTATAACCCCATGTCAAGCACTGTAACCTCTCTCATCCTTCATAACCTACTTCTCACACACACACACACACACACACACACACACAACACTTATCCTGATTGCCACAAAATAAATAGGTCTATATATCATATGAAGCACCAAGCCTCCACAGGGATGTTATTTGCCTGTAGTGTTTATGTCATTTCCGTCACTCTTAATGGTAGTGGAATTATTTGTGTTCAAGTTTATGAGCTCCACACAACTTCAATTATTCCCATATATAGTAAACATTTTTCAGAATATCTGCTATTCTCCATTCAATATTTTCCCCTTTTCTGCCTCTTTCTTTAATCATCAGTATGTTATACTTACCATTATAACTTGTAAAGAGACTTTTACACAATAAATGTTCAATACATATTTGTGGATTTAATTGAGTCAGATATTCTTTTATTAGTTCTACATACACAACTGTCAAGATCCCAGACTCTTCTCTTCCTTGTTTTAAGTTTCCAAAAGTCAGCAAGTCCCAGTATTTTCTGCAGCAGAGTGTTCTCACAGTCAACAGCCTTCCTCAGTTCTGGGTTTTATAAAAGACCTTGAGGATCCCTCTGCGTATCTCCTTTGTCTTCACACTGTAGATTATAGGGTTGAGCATTGGGGGTACAAATAGGTAGACATTGGACATCATGACATGAACAACTGCTGGGGCACTTTTCCAGAAACGGTGGATCATGGACACAGCAATTATAGGCACATAGAAGACCAGCACTGCACAGATGTGTGACATGCAGGTGTTGAGTGCCTTGAGTCGCTGCTCCTGAGATGCAATAGCTAACACAGCTTTGAGGATCAACACATAGGAAAGTAAGATAAAAGTTGAGTCTATGCCGTAGGTGAAGATGACCACAAAGAGCCCATAGATGTTGTTAACACGCACATCTCCACATGCCACTTTCATGAGATCTGGATGGAGGCAGTATGAGTGATGCAAAACGTTCCCCTTGCAGAAAGGCAGTCGTTTCACCAGAAAGGGGAAAGGGAAGAGAGTGGTAAAACTCTTGGCAAGGATGCCCAATCCCATAGCCAAGATGCGGCTATTGGTGAGCACAGTTGCATAGTGTAGTGGGTCACAAATAGCCACAAAACGGTCGAAGCTCATGGCCAGCAATATACCTGATTCCATGAAAGAGAAAGTGTGGATGAAGAACATCTGAACCAAGCAGGCATCAAAGCCAACATGGCGGTAGTTGAAGCAGAAGGTCGCAAGCACTGTGGGCAGTGTAGAGAAGGACACCCCCAAATCATTGAGAGAAAGCATAGAGAGGAAGTAGTACATGGGCTGGTGCAGAGCAGGCTCCCGAATCACCACCGTGATGATGCTGAGGTTGCCTATGATGGAGATCAGGTAGAGGATGCAGAAAAACAGAGCAATCCAGGCTTGACCTGTCTGCATCCCAGGAATGCCTGTCAGCTGGAGAGTGGCTGGCTGGAAGGGGGTGCCATTGAGGCCCAGCATGGCCGGAAGGTGGGAGAATACAGAGTGGGAATGAGCCCAAGAGGGTTGGGGGAGTTCTTCACTGTCTTTCAGACATCCTGTCTCCAACACAAAAGGTCAGAGATTGAAAGTGTTTGTCTGTGTTCCTGCTTTACTTATTAAACTATGAGCTATTTGAGGATAACTACTGGGTTTTGCTCATTTCTGTATCACCAGTGCCCACTAACCTGTCTAGACCACACAGAAACTACTTAAAGGTAGAATAATCAGGTGAGTATCCATACATGACAAGGTAACAGAGTAGGCGATAACATGGACAAAGTCCCCTAATTCTGCCTTTATTTTTTTAAAAAGATTTACTTATATATGCATACAAAAACTGGGATATAGGCCAGAGGTATGGGTGGTGAAAGGATTCACCAGAGACAGAGTGGGAAACAGGACAGGCAGATTGACTGAAATAAACTGCTGAGGAGAACAGTGGGTGAGACAGGAGAGGTCTGGTGTGCCATGTGGGTAGGTCCCTGGCCGGGGATCAAACTCGCTGCAGTGGCTGCAGATAGCCTCATAGCGCTGCATCTTAACCCCTTGTGCCACCAGGGAGGCCCCTAATTCTGACTTTAAACTATGATCCTTTCACTTCCCCCATCTCACAACAGAAGCCATATTCTAGAAATTGTATGGAAACTAGAAATAACAAAATAAGGAAAAGGAACACCACCTATAGCTTTAGGAACCCTTTGCTAGATGGCATAGATAAAACTTCTACAGCTATGAAAAGGCTTTAATAACCTTTACTCAGACTTCACCTCAACCTCCAAATCCCATGGGTATCCCTAAAGTTGCCATCACCATAAACTGTTTCACCTCTGAAATCCTCAATTCCAGTATTTTTACCTTCTGACCACATCCTTCTGCTTCCCAGTTCTCTTACTTTATCCAGCCCATGCACTTGCTCCCAGAGTCTCAATAATTCTCCCATTTTATTATGATCTATTTGTTTACTAACGCTTCCTTCCTCACCCTTTCCCTGACCTACTCTCTTACTAGGACTCATATCTCCACTTTTTCTTTTACTCTCTTTTACATTGCATGGTAAACTCCATCCTTTGACCAGCTCCATAATCAACCTGGGTATACAGCTGGATTAAATCAAAGAAGTAAGTTGTATTAGAAGAGACAAGAGACTGAGTACTTACCAATACCTAAATTTATACTAATTAACACTTTTACCTGTTCTTACCCCTGGTTTCTGAGAAAGAGATGCCTCCCCTTCTCCAAGGTGAGGACTTTCATCATCAAGATTCAACCTTTTGCCATCTCCTCTTCCATTAGTCCATTGTACTGTATTCTAGCCTCGCCCCTTCAGGTAGTAACCAGGTGCAAAACCATCCTGTCATTAAAATACAGCTTTTCCTCTCTGGCTGCTACTCTGTTAGCCTTTCCAATTCTTAGTCAAACTTTTTGAAACACTGTCTCTGGACGCTCCCCCATCAATTCTGAGATACTAAAAGTCAGCAGTTCATTCTTCTAGATCTTGCCTTTTATAGCTCATCGAGTTGCTATGACTAGTACCCAGTCACTTCCCCTCCCAACCAAAACTAATGTGTTTATGGTAACCAGTAACCTCCTTGTCACACAATCTAATGAAAACATTCTCTCTCACAACATATTTGATCTTCCTCCAAGAGGTAACACTTCATCATTTTAGAAGTGCTCTCTTCTTCCAGAGATATCATTTCTCTCCAGTTTTTCCCCTTCCTTGATTTTTCCTTTACCTTCTTTTTTTTTTTTTTTTTTTTTTTTTTTTTTTTTTTTTTTTTACCTTCTTAACTGCATCTTCTCTCTTTGTTCTTTAAATTGCATCAGCCTGAGCCTCCCCTGGTGGCGCAGGCAGTTGAGCGCAGCACTATGAAGCTGTCCGCAGCCTCTGCAGCAACAGTTGGATCCCGGCCTGCCGGCGAGGGTCCCACATGGCACAGCAGACCTCTCCTGCCCGCTGCTCCCCTCAGCAGTGTATTTCGTCAGTCTGCCTGTTCTGTTCCCTGCTCTGGCTCTGGGGAATCCTCACACCCTCCCGCGCATCTAGCCTGTACCCTGGTTCTTGTAAGGATAAATAAATAAATCTTTAAAAAAAATAAATAAATTGCATCAGCCTAACTCTAGGAAAATTTAGCAATGGTCAGAATGCTATAAATTGAAAAAAAAAAAACCATATTATCAACTGTCTCAGACTATCCAAAATATCTCTGTAACTATATTTCCAGGGTACCAGATTTCTCAAAATTAAAGCTCCATCCTGGAATTTAGGCATAATGGTACCATTATTCCTTTGGCGTTTTTGAGAGTTTCCATCCTCTTCATAGCCTTATTAGTAAGCAGAGTGAAATTAGGTAAAGACAAGAGACTGGAGAATGCTCAGTCATAATCCTGAATTTATATGGGCTAGAGAAGGAATTGATCTATTCCTTTGGTTTCGTTCCCTTCCAACTGAGAATTCAAAGGAACACTTCACTCAAAAGTTTCACCTCTAAACTTTTATCTTCCTTCCAATCCAGGTTTCAATTCAATGTCTCCAAGAAGGTGACTTTGATCCAACCTGTGCAAATATGCTTTCTAAATCATCTTAATTATAAGAGCATGTCTAGTACCCCCCCCACACACACATACACACGTATACACACACAAATGCAAAGTTCCACAACAGCACTAACAGACCTGCAGTAATATCCCCACCAATTAGATTCCCATGACAGACTCAATACTGAAAACCCATATAGGTCAGATAACACATTGTCAAATGACTTCGGTTCATTTGATTCTGTGATTTTTTTTTTTTCTCCAGCTGTACACTCAAGGTTCAGGTATAGAAGACAATGATTCAAATTGCAGGGTGAAATTATAGAATACTCTCAAGACAAAATCTGAATTTAATGACTCAACTTTTTAACCTAAGGTTTGGTATTAGGACTTTGATTCAGAAGAAAACTGGGCATTGGGCCTATGATCCTGAGCTTTGAAAGAAAATAGATTTGGTTCATGTTTGGAGGGGAAATATAAGGACTCAGGTCAACCTGGGGTTGCAGTAAGAGTGCTAAAGTTTAGAACAAGTTTAGAACAAGATAAGGAGCTCAGATGGGCAAATGAAGGAGGGGACACTCACTGGGTGATGCAGTTTCTGTTTCCTGTAGCTGGATGCACTGGTTTATGGGTCCAGTCAACAGAGTAGCATCAACTCACTCTCTTATGACTCACAAATTTATGAATACCCCAAAATCCCTAGGCTCATTTGTTTGTGGTCAGAGAAAGGAAGATGGAAATAATGAAGGGGGTGGGATCAGTGAGCAGTGAGCTGGGTCATAGGAGAATTGCTCTCAGGAGAATACCAGTTTTGGCACCATCACCCCTGATGGCATCATCCTACCTATCATTATACCATTTCTTCCTTGATCAGGGAATGCAAACCCATGAATGCATACAATCTTATGCAGTCATATTCATCCTGAGGCCCCTACACACATTCTGTTACTTATTTACTAGCATAGCTCCTCTTTCAGATGCACACAAATACAACCAGATAAACATAAATATGCTCATATAACTATCTAGACACTAATCGCATATTTTGACACATCAAATGCACATTATAATGTGTGTACTCTTACACTGATTATAGTGACTAATATATATTATAGAAATAATTTTAGAGAGAGATTCATATCATAATTGAAGAAACAAGTATATATATTTCAAATATAATCCCATGCTCACCTGCCCAAAAGTATTTCAAACATATACCCACATTCTTATTAACAAATCAACAAAAGAAGTACAACAAATTCTTTTCACAGATTCATATATGGAACTTAGATGCATTGCAGGGTTTTTGGGTTTTTTTTTTTGTACAATGCATGTCAGCATCTACATAATATGCTTCTTATTTAAGTATTCCTTTAGTCCACCATGAAAAATGGCCCCAAAGTTGCAAATTTAGGTAAAATTTCCAATAAGACCAAAATAAAAATGTTTTTTTGTATATTATTTTGTTCCAGGTATTATTCTCATAGTCATTTTTATGCAGAGAAATAGACACCAGACCTATTCTTATAAAGATAGTTCAAGCAAATACACTTCAAGATGCTACCTAGACACATAAACATACTACAGGACAAAGTCAATATATGCATCAGATTGTTTCTAATGTGCATGTAAAATCTGTGCATGACATGTTTGGAATAAATAAATAAATAACTTTATAAAATAAATAAATAAAAACTACAAAAATTCAATTAATATATGAAAAATTAAGTGCTTAGAGGGAACTATATTGATGATATAACTTACTTTGAAAGCATCAATAAGGTAAAAAGGTAGAGTAATTAAAAAGAATAGAATCATAGGTGGCTATATAAGAAAGAGGCATAATAAGATACTAATGACATAATACAGGTGGCAGAACCTCTTTTACCATGACCTTTAAAGACCTCAGAACAAGCCCAAAATGTCCCTGCCACACCCACTTAAAGTAATAAATACCAGTTACAGGGGCATCTTGTCTGACCCTTGCATCATCCCACCACCACTTAAACAATCAGTGCCTACTACCCCAAAGTCTGAGTCACCAGCCCCATAGCACACTTCCTCCAAGCACGTGATTTAACACTTCCAAACTCCTATCTTTGTCTCTCTTGCCATAAAATTAGAAGCTACATCCTCAATTTGCTACCTCCAATGACATCTTTATATTCCCTTTGTTTCTTGCGCTAATACGTTTATACTCTCTAATACTTAGCTGACAATTTGTTATATTAATTTTTCTCAAAGGAGCTGGTATGGTTCTTATACTTGAGCCTGTTCCCCGGGCTATGTTGTGACTATTACATATGCACTCAGCAGAAAGTCACTAAATACTTCTTTCCAAATACTATGTTAGAAGCTGGAAATGTGATGACCAAGACCAATGGGATCCCTGTCTGGGAGAATTTTTTTTTAATTTTTTTATTTTTTCCATCATTGTTCATTTTTAAAGAATATTTCCTCCCCTTACCCCCTCAGGTATAG